TCACATTATAATGAAACTGCCCCTTTGTAGAGGGGACGGGGGTTACTTTACTGGAGAGCCATAATTCATGCTTTGTCCAGGGTTTCTAACGTGATGATAGTTTCCTCGTATGACCCCCATTCTGGTATTGCTCTGTTGCACATGAGTTACTGACTTCACACAGTCACCTTTCACGAATTCATAAAGGAATCACATCCCCGCAGTAGTCCTTGGACATGTCTGTCACCGTTCAATTACAATGAAAACATCTTGTCCAGAAATGTTTTTAATTCAGGAACGTGAGCTTTACTCATAGTGTTTACTTGGAGGGCTCAGAGCTGCTTTGGAACGTAAGTCTGTATTCTTACTTTGCTATGTGTGCTTTTTTCATAAAAAGCTCTGAATAACCACAGACCTTTCAGTAACGTACATGAGAAATCGTGTATTTACCTGTACAGTTTCTGGATGGCACAGAGTAACAAAGGGAGTCACATTAATAAAATCGAGAGTGAAAGCAAGATTCAGAAAGAAAAACCATCTGGATGGCACAGAGTAACAAAGGGAATCACATTAATAAAATCGAGAGTGAAAGCAAGATTCAGAAAGAAAAACCATCTGGATGGCACAGAGTAACAAAGGGAGTCACATTAATAAAATCGAGAGTAAAAGCAAGATTCAGAAAGAAAAACCATCCTGACCAAACTGACCACCGAGATGGATGAGGTTCAGTTTATCAGAGACATCTATTACGCCGTGCATTTAAGCTTTTCAATTATGGACTATCTCTAACACAGAAAGGCCTATATGTGGTCTATAAGAACAAGTTAAAGACTAATCATAAAATAATCCGTATACACTGACCAGTTTTAGAAATGGAAAATGACCCTCTCTACTCTTCCCGTTGCATCTCCTTTCAGAGTGAACATCATATAAATTTCATGTTCATTCCATGATTTCATTAATTTTAGCACCACACGGATATACCCCAAAGCGTGTATAGCAGTGGTGGCGAACCTCTGACACGTGCGCCACTGCAGGCTGTTTGCAGCATCGGAAGTTCTAAAAGATACATAGTTTTACCTAGTTTCAAAATTACGTAGCTGAAACCACTTCATCTGCGTTATTCTGGGGTTTGCCTTGTTCAGGCAACTTTGCTTTGTTCTTGTTGTTCACTGATTAATTTAGCTATATTTTTATTTATAGTCATTTCTACATCCCATTCTATTATATGAATGGCAAATTTTTTTATTCTATTCATCAGATATTTTGGTTGCTTCTAACTTCTTAGAATCGTGAATAATGATTTTGTACATTTGATGAACAAGCTGCTGAGTCATAGGGTATGTGCATTTTCAAATTTACTAGATAATCTGAATTTCTTTGTTACAGCCTCACCAAAGTTCTAAAAGACTTTAATGCTTTTCAGTCTTGTGAGTATAAAATACTTTCTAATTACAGTAATTTTTATTACCCTGATTACTAATGAACTGAGCATTTTCTGTATCTTTATGTATTGTTCACATTTCTTCCATGGAATGACTGTCCTTTGCCCATTTTTCTATTTTTTACGGATAGAAATTATTTATATATTCTAGATACAAGTGCTATAGAGGCTGAATAGAGTGCTGTTATTTCTGCCAGTTTGTAACTGGTGTTTCCATAATTTTGGTGAATAAAATTTTGTTTTACTAGTGTGGAATGTTATGTATAGTTTTCCTATACGCATTTAGGTTTTTTAACCTATTTTACGGTCCTAGGGGGTAAAATGTATCTTTCGATAACTGTTGTTTGAGAAAAATACATACAACTAAATAAAGCAAAACAAAAAAGAAAAGTTTACTATAGCTGTCAGTATAATTTTAAACAATAATTTTAGCCAATAATAACCAGATCTTTAGAAATACTGCTGTACTGTATGTCTTTCTAAGGCATATACAGTAAGGATATGTAAAAACTGGGAAGACCCATTGCTTGACAGGAGGTCTGATGATCAGCTAGAGGAACACAGCCTAAGAGACATGGTAGACAGATGCAGATATTTTGAAGGCTTATTAGAAGGTGGGGAAAAGAATTGAAAGGAGCTAAAAATGAAACAGTAAAATTTCCAGGGAGGTTTTCAGCTCAGTGTAAGACAGTATTTGGAATAACCAGCAAGGGAGGCGGGTGTCTCATGGAGCAGCGGCCCCATCCTTGTGTGGTGCAGACAGGCTGACAGTCTACCTGCGAGTGGGCTGGGGGTGTAGCTCAGCGGCACAAGCGCCTGCCTGGCAAGCGCAAGGTCCTGAGTTTGACTCCTGGCACCAAAAAAAAAGTAATACCTGCGAGTAAGTTAGATTCGTTGGTCAGAGGTTGAACTAGTTACCTTCTAATGCCTTTCCCAAAGCTGTCGCTCTGCGTGTCTCCAGTGTTTGTCCTCATGTGTACAATTAATACTACTATATATTTTTAAATGTATAATATCTTTTGAAGATTAGCAGCCTAATTTTGACCTGTCACATCCAGAATTGTCATAGGAAGCTAGTCAGTTGGCTAGAGATACTAATGCAAGTTAATGCTATTTTTGAAAAAAATGTCAAGGTTCTTAGCTATAAGACTTATTAGATAGTACTGAAGTGCATATTTGCGAATAGAACATAAATACATAATAACATAATAATACATAAATAACATAATACATAAATAAATAACATTTAGCGTATGCTATATCTGTTCCTGGAACCAGGAATACATAATACATAAATAACATTTCGCGTTATTTAACTGAGCTTACCTCTGAAAGGTTAATGAGTCTAAAGAATGAGATAAAATCTTCACACAGCAGTCATGTGGTCAAGGAAGTTCTCATTTAAGGGACCTTTAAAGCTCTTCAACTAAAGAGAAAATAGGAACTTACAAGACTTAGAGAATCCTGAGCATATACAGCAGTTAAACTGTGTTGATGCCAAGGTGATCACTGGAATCTACTGTATCACATGCAGTATCTCTAGCATTTAGCACGTTTAGTGAATGGAGCGTTCAGCATTCCATGTGCGCGGAAGGAAACAATGCCGAGCTTTTTTGTTATGGTACTGGGAATTGAACAAAGGGCCCTGGCACTGAGCTGCCTCCCTGGCCCAGTCTTTATTTTGAGGACAGGGTCTTGTGAAGCTGCTGTGTCGCCGAGACTGGGCCCAGCCATGGGATCGTCCTGCCTCGGAAGTGCCCCACCATCCCCACCTAGCCCTTTCCCAATTCTTGCAGCCACTGCACTCTTTCTGTCAATCCTGTGTAAGATCTGTAGATATAACTTAAACATTTGCTATCATAACGCCTTTCACCTTATATCCATTCTTCTAAACCAGTGGCGTCCAGGATTATTTGTTGTATTACTATTTTTAAAAAATTTGAGCACACATATATATGTGTGCCATACATACATGTTACTGTAATAATTTGTACAAGAAATTTGTAAGTTTCACAGAAGTAAAAGCTGTTATAATGTTTTAAATTTTATAAATATTTAAAATGCTTTTTAAAAGAATTTCATGTGTTAATATATAAAATACTTTGTTCTCAAATGTTATTAATAATACTCTGAATGCTAGTTAATAAAATGTCATCAGTTATGAGAATCCCACATATCACTTGCCAGTATTTCATGGCACAGTGTATATTTAAGGTAAGATTTATAATTAGTTTTTTGGGTAGTTTTTAAATTTATGACACTGACTTTGTTACATGTATAGTTATACCATCGCTGTAATTATGTGGCAAGGCATTTATCATGAAAAGAGATGTCAGTGCTAGCATTTTTTCTGTTCACCTATTAGTAATCTTTGCTATATGATAAGAATATTTTAATTAAAATTATACAGAACACATTTGAAAATATAATAAACATCCATGCACCTGCCACTCACCTTAAATAATAAAACATACACCCAGTGAGAGCCCTACAGAAGTGTATTCAGCCGCGTCTCCATTTTTATGAGGACTCACTTATACTATAAGGTGTATACACCACCTACCTGAGCACACCTAAGTTTCAGTACACTACAGAAAGCCGAAAAGCATTTATGAGGCCGGGCACAGTAGCACAAAGTTGTGATCGCAGCTAACCTAAGACTGAGGCACGAGGATGTCAAGTTAGAGGCAGACCTGGATAACTCAGCAAAATCTTGTATCCAAAAAACTTTTTTTTAACTTTTAAAAGGCTCACTGGGCATAGTGGCACATGCCTTTAATGCCAGCACTTGGGAAGCTGAGGCAAGAGAATCTCTATAACTTTGAAACTAGCCTGGGCTGCATAATGAGTTTAAGGCCAGTCTGAACTACATAATAAGACCCTGTCTCCCAAACAAGAAGGCTGGTGAGTAGCCCTGTGGCAGAGCACTTGCCTAGCATGCATGAGGCCCGGGATTCAATCTTCAGTGCCAAGAGAAGGAAGGGAGGGAGGGAGGGAGGAAGGGGAAGAAAAGAGAGGAAAGAAAAGAAAGGAAGAAAGAGGACAGAAAGAAGGAAGAGGAGGACAGGGTGGGGAAGGGATGGAGGGGAGGGGAGAGGCGGGAGAAGAAAGGAAGGAGACCACTAATGAGTGGCGGTGCCACTGCCACCCTCTTGCGTTCGGACCTTTTACCATATGCGATGTACAGCAGTCTGCCTTGTAAGCCATGTAACACGAGTGTCCCTGTCAAACGTATTATTATATCAGTAAGTTCAATTCCTCATTTCTAGACAGCAAGTATAAATTAGAATTCTAACCCACTCCCTGCACACCAGTGGCTTTTCTTCCCTGTCCTCCTGGTGCTCCGGGACCATGTCTTGGAGGTCAGTCCTCTAAATCATAAGCCACACCGAAGCAGAAACTTTGTTGAACTCATTCTCGTAACTGCCACGCAATGTAAGAGGAACTCAGTAAAAGTCTGTTGACCATGAGAATGAGAGCTTTCTGTGATACTAAAGGTAACGTGGTAGTCTTCATTGGATATATGTTGTTCCCTCAACTCAAGTAGTTTGTGACCTTGTGCTGACATTTGTTTAAGATTCTACTGTTAGAAGAAAACGAATTGTTGAAAATAAGCAGAGAAATCTTTCAGTCCAGAAAAGAAAAAACCCTGGGTCTGCAGCACAGAGGAACAGTGAGCAAGTGAATGTAAGTACAGCACTAGTAAAAATCACCGCTCAGTACGGAAAAATTGCTCGGAAAAACAGTGCTCCTAAAAGTCTGCGCTCCTGCCGTGAACTATACCGTGGTATAAATATAGCCAGAGTCACCTGTGATGCACTCCTGGAATCTCTCGGTAGAAGTTTGTTCTACTGTCCTTCTTTGCTGTATTCTAATTCTCTATATGGTAAATTACCACTGAGGGTTTTACAACAACTTTAGGAAATCACTGTTTGTTGTCATTTATAACGAACTCTGGAAAAAATGAGATCTTTCGCAAAAAATTCAACCCATTACTTAAATTAAATAAGAGCAGAAAGGGAGGGAAGGAAGGAAGGAAAGAGGGAGGGAGCGGGGTAGGGAAATGAGAAAGCTAGAGCTGTGGATCCAGGAAGCAAGCATGCTAATCATAAAGACTAATACAGTTCTGTGTAATTGAGTATCCCATCTGGAGCTGAGTTTCCTGCACGACTGGGTAAAAAGAAAAGGTGAAGAAGTTACATAGTTCTCAAGGAATATTGGCAGTGATGTTTGTGACACAATATTTTAAAAGATAATGAGAACCTTTCATAAGGGACCTTAAAGGGCATACTGCCAGGCGTGGCGGCGCACGCCTGTGATCCCAGCACTTGGGAGGCTGAGGCAGGAGGATCATTGTGAGTGCAAGGCCAGCCTGAACTGCCTAGTGAGACCCTGTCTCAAAAAGACAAAAAAAAAAAAAAATGCATACTGAACATATCTTTAATAACAGTTCGGTAATAAATGAATATAGCTTATGAGGTAGATCTTCAATAAACATCCAAAGTGTAATAACAGTTTTTATTATGAAGGAAATTTTGTGAGTGTTAAGTAAATGTGATCTAAATATGACATTTTCTAGTGGTCTGACTTCAAGGATTTACTTTAGAATGTCAAAAATACTAAAGGAATAAGTAAATAGCATGGTACTTGGAGTTTCTGCCTTAAATATTGCTTCTTCTGATCTTTTTAAATAGAACTGAAATAGGGTTCCAGGAATAGGAATAACTTTTTTAAATAGAACTGGAATTTACAGTTTGCACTATAGGTTGAGATTCCTATCATTTGTATATTTTAGGAAGTATTAATTTATGTGATTAATATAACATTAATATGGGTAACAAACAACCATGATATAACCTTACCAACCAAACAGAGTTATTTAGTTACATATGTATATGGCTAAGTTAATCTCATTACCACCATGTTCTTATTGCTTAACAACAAAAATTGTGCTTAATTATAAGCACAGAACTTACAGGTGTAACTTCCTGATTACAGTAATGCATCATGAGCCCTCCCTTTTTAAACTTTCTGTTGTTCCCACCAAAATCTCAAAGTCCGTAAGGATACATTTACCTCTATTTTCTATATTTTGTTAAGCTATCTCAAATTGTAAAGTCATATGTAGTTACTAGAACAATAATAAATTCCACATGGTTATTGGTGCGCACTCCAAATTCACTTCTGTTCTCATGCTCCTTTGCATTCCGTCTCTCTGTCCTCTCCAGAAAGCTCCTCTTGCACTTCACACACGTCTTCCATCCTTTCACACATCTCCTCAGGTCCTGTCAGCGTTAGAAAAAATCAGTGTTCCTGAAGCAAAATCATTTTGAAGTTGAAATTTTTCATCCGTAGTATTATTCTGCTTGGTCTTTTTATTCCAGAGCCTAATCAGAAGTTCAGTTACTACAGCAGTGACCTTTGTCACCTTGTGTTAGGCAGTGCATTTTATTACACTGCATTTTGCCACCCCACTGCTATATGGAAAGAATCTAAAACAGGTAAATAAAAAACAGAAAAAGCATAACTGCTCTTTTGTGTCCGGGTTTCAGTCCATGTCTCTCAAGTCTATAATGGACATCAGGCAAGAACTCTGCAGTGAGAGCTGTTGCAAAAATCTAATCAGTTACTGTTCAGATCAGACTGAAGAAAAGCCGAGTATAGCATATAGTCATAACTATGCAATTCTGTCTGAAAGAAAAAGGGAATAGAGAAGGAAAGTAGACCATATTCGAAGGGGAGAGTAGGTATCTTTCAGAGAGCACGAGTACGTGAACATATTGCCAGTGTTCAAAACTTTCCTTTTCCCAAAGGTATTTTATTGAGATGGGAAGATTTGGGGATGGCGTAGGTGGAAGGGAGTGGAGGAAAAAGTAAAAAGGATCAAGCTGTGATGTGTGTATTTACCATTCCCCTGCAATGAATATACTTTACATATTGCACACATATACTAATAAAAATTTTAATTTCCTTTTCCAGATTCTATGCAGCATTGGGACAGCTATTTCTGTTTTAAATTCTGTCATCTAAAATACTTACCTACACTAGGCATTAGTCACAGTGAGAGGCTTTAGGCCAGTGGCTGTGATTCTCCCTTACAAAAATAAACCAACTAGCCAGGTGTGGTGGATCAATAGACAGGAGAATCACAAGTTCAAGCCCAGCTGAGCAACTTAATGACTTAGCAAGACCTGTCTCAAAATAAATAATATAATAACAATACTAATAATAATAATGGGCTGGGGATGTAGTTCAGTCTGAAGGCTCTGGGTTCATTCCCAAGATAAATCAACCAAGTTACAGGGGCTGGGGATTTAGCTCAGCAGCACAGCACCTGCCTGGCAAGCGTGAGGTCGTGAGTTTGATTCCCAGGGCTGGAAAAAAAAAAAAATCAACCAAGTTATAAATCTTAAGATAAACTTTTATCGTTCCTTTAAAATAGTACATCTTTTTCAAATATCCAACACTACAACTTTAAATTTTTCAGTGGAGATAAAATATATTTTTAAATATTCATGTACCTTAGAAAGACTTTAACTCAGTAACTCTTGATTTATGTTACAAAAACAACATGTTACTTAAATAAAGATAGCTTAAGATATATAAAGAGCAGGGCCTGGTGTGGTGGCTCACACCTGTAGTCCCAGCACTCAGGAGGCTGAGGCAGGAGGATCCTTGTGACTTCGAGACCAGCCTAGGCTACAAGGTCAGCCTGAACTGCCTAGTGCCGGCCTGTCATGAAAAGACAAAAAAAAAAAAAAAAAAAAAAAAAAAGATATACAGCAATTTCAAACTTTATTTTAAAGTCCATGTATATATCGTGAATTTTAAATGTGAAAATATGTTCTGATTTAATATTCTATTTTTATAGAATTTTGGACAAACTGTCCAGCTAAGTTCAAGTGAGCCAAGACAAACTACAAGAGGCACTAATAACATTGAAGAAGGTACGTTTTAACGGTTTAAATATTTTCCTTGGAGCTTTGTCTCCAGTCATCTTTTCTCTTGCATGTATTTTCTCAGGTGCTTACAAATTGTGTCACCGTGAAACCCCCATTTAGGGCCCGCACTGCCCTTGCCACTGGACAGTTTGTCGCCGGTTCCCCTGCATTCTAAACAGCAGGGTATTGGTCAACTCTCTGCATGGAGCTATCTCCTGACTTACCAATTATTTCTGCGGGATAGATTTCCAGAATCAAAATTATAGTTGTGGACATATAAGTGGCACTCAGTAAATATTTGTTGAATGAAACTCTGCATATTAAATGAGTACTAGATCAAAGGAAAGCATTGATACAGTTATTCATGCATATTGCTAAACTTTTTTCCTAAAAGTATTACTCAAAATTCAGTCATCTGTGTCAACCTGAGGTACAGTTCTTTCTACTCTTTGCTTATGTGAAGTCAAAGAAGTTTTGTTGTGTTCATTTTTTAGATTTTTATTAATAATATGCTTGATTGTTTTTGTCTGTATTCTTGGTGAACTCTCTCTTCATATTCTTTTTCCCTGAATAGTAAAGTTTTGACATTTTCTTACTGATTTCTGAAAATTCTTGAAATATCAATGGTTGTAATCCTTACACTGGTTATAGGTATTTTTACTACTTTATTATTTTTGTTTTATTCCACTTAGGTTGTATTTTTACATATAGGTTTTCATTTTTATTTGTTCATTCAATAAATTATTATTGAGAATTAATGTTCTGATTATAGGCAGATTTTGGTTATGCATTCATGAACACAACGTATAAAAGTCTTGCCCTTTAGGACTTAAAAGTCTGGGCCGGCGTGGCCTAACATTAACACATGTCAGTCTTTTCTTGGTGATTTCTTATTACTTTCACATTCAAAGAACCTTTCCCATCCAGAAATTTAGAAATACCTTTTCCTCCAGGTCGCTTTAATAGTTTGATTCTCTAGATTTAGCTCTTTATTTGGCATTTGTTCAAATGCAAGGTGAGAACTGAAGCCCCAAATCATTCCTTTCTGCACCATGAACTAGTTTATTGAATCTTCCCTCCTGTCTCTCAAGTTTGTGATGCTCCTTTGAGCATCTGTTCTTAATCCACTTGGTCTGCGGGGCTGTCAGTTCTGTTCACCTGATCATCTGATTTTCTTACCCTTCCTGAAGTGCTTTTCTCCTACTTGTTTATTTAGACATTTTAACTGCTATTATAAAGATAATCCCCTTCATAGTATCTTCGTACCACCGGTAAATAGCAAAACTCAATACAAAAAATTATGTAAACATAATGTAACTCTCTTAAGAATTTTTATTACCTCACTGCCATCATTTTAGACTTTTTTAAATTAAGGGCGGGGAAGTGCTAGATGTACAGAATCTTGATAAATGCAAAGTAATAGAACATGACTGCATTTCCATTCATGAAATGAATAATACAGGCATTGCTAAGTGTGTATAAGACCTAATCCCAAAGAAAATGAGATCAAAGAATGATTAAAATTTATGTAGTTTCAGATAGTACTTCTGAGTTTTTGATGGCTGAAAATCTAGTGAAAGTTTCCGTGCCTGAGGATAAAATTCTAACTGTCCTGAGTAACAAGCAGCTACAGAAATCAAATCTGGCTTTAAATAAGACCCAGCAGTTCAACATCTGTGCACTATCAGCTGAAGAACAGAGAATCCTGCAGTCCCTTGACCGTCTCAATGAAAGGCTCCACTGTAAGTATGGAAGCTCTTTGGTGATAAATGTGGTATTTTGTACTTAAACTATTTAAAATTGAACATAAAAGTGCAAAATTATACACATTATCATCTATTTGCTGGAATATATAGCAATTGAGAAATATTTGAATATTTGATGCTTTTTCAAGTATACAGCATCATTTATGATGTTTGTGATGATACCAATTTCTGTGGCAGGCTTTACTGTCTTTTAGGAATATTTGAGTATATTAATTCTAGTTCAGTAACAGACAAGCTAGGTATCTACACTGGCTATCCATGAAAACAGTTATAATCTTCTCATTAAGTATTTTGAAAACCTAAATAATGAACTGCTAAAAATATAAGGAATTCTTAAGACTAAGACGTAAGTATAAATAAAAACTCGGGAAGATAAAAGAGAATCTATAGCTAGCTTTTATCCTAAGAAATTTAACACATAGAATTTTCAAAAAGGGGAAGCAGGTGACAAAACCCAGGCCCAACTCTGAAGAAGTGGTCTCACAGGAGATCCTCCAGCCATGAAACTGGGACATCCAAAGATCCACGCACAGCACACACGTTCACAGAGAAGGAGGGGCCGAGAAATTATATTTCTTGAACTTAAGTATTGAGCAGATTGGGCACACGGGCCACTCTGAGAATTTGAAGCCACAGTCTGTTACAAATATTCACGCATTTACAGACCATAGTTATGCTCCCTGAGTGGTCGCTAAAGCCTGAACCAAATAATTTAACTTAGAACGGTTTAAAAGTGGTAACGACCCAAAACACCTGGAAATAGTAAATTTATGTTCTTTCCAGAGAAACCTATGAATACTACAGTCTTCAAAGAATTATCATAAATGAAATCTGAGGAAAATGAGCATCCCTAATTAAACAAAAATAAAATAAAATAAAATAAAATAAATAAATAATAATCCATAAGAAAAATCTGCCGTTTAAGAAGTCATTCCTGTGGTTGCTATTACGGGTTTTCTCCGTAAACCAACAGCCAGATTAGCCTTGTAATGTGAGCATTTCCAGAGAACCTGATGTAGTGCCAGGTACACTGCACCCTCCCTTCCCAAATTAAGGGAGGTGCTCAGGCCTTGGGGCGCAGGCAAAGGCTTCTAGTTACCCATGCCCGAAGGACACCACTGAAAAGCAACTGAGTAAAAAGATCTCTCTACTAACAACCAAGTCTTTACACTGCCAACATCCACAAGCCTCAGCACCACACAAAATAAAACATCAAAACAACAGAAACATGAGAAGGCAAGACAACGAAATGCCTCCAGAACCCCCAGCTCCCCGAAAGCCAGTCCAGAGGGCATCAGAGGGGAAGACAGCGTAAGGCACACACCCAAGTTATGTGAAAGGGTAACAGAGGAGGTTCGAGGACAGATCAAAGTGGCGCTCAGTGGAGCACAGAAGATGTGACTAAACATTATGGAAGTCATAACCAAAATGATACAGAAGCTTTCAGAAGACACTAACGAAAAGCTAGCTGAGCTAAACAAAATAATATGAAATATGAATGACCGTTTTAGCAAGAATTAGAGTCCATGAAAAGGTTTCGGTCAGAAATCCAGGAGATTAAAAATTATATTAAAAATATGGGAAATGAAAAACCTCTACATGAAAACTACAGTACTCTGAAAGATGAACCTGAAGAAGGTATCAGAAAAGGAAAAGAGATCTCCTGTTCCTAGATAGGCAAAACCAGTACATTGGTGCCTCAGTTCATGAACTAAGTTCTTCCCGTGATTCTGGTCACAAACCAAATTGGACAAGAACCAAATCAAATTCAGTGATTCGGTTCAATGTTGACCTTATGGGGAAATTTGATTTGTTTTTTTTCCAATTTGGTTTGGGACCAGAGTCATGGAGAGAATTAAGTTTGTGAACCAAGGTAGCTCTGTACAGTCAAAATGGCTGTACTTCCAAAACCAGTATACAGATTTAATGCAATCTCAATCAAAAACCGGGCGTGGTGGCGCACACCTGTAGTCTGACTATCTTAAAGTTACAGACCTCAAAAAACTATTAAAAGAATGAAAATATAAGCCACAAATTGGTTTAAAAATACGTATAACGTATAGAAAGCCCAGAATGGTGGGGCACACCTGTAACCCCAGCTCCTCAGGAGACTGAGGCAGGAGGATCATGTGTTTGAGGTGAGCCTAGGCGACCCTGTCTCAAAGAAAGGGGCCTGCTGACGTAGCTTAGTGCTGCAGAACTTGCCGGTTAAATCCCCAGCTCTGCAAAATACACACTCACACACACACGCGTGCACACACACATGCGCGCGCGCGCACACACACGGACACACAGAATAAAAGACTTGTACAAAATATAAATCATTAAGAGAAAAGAACCCAATAGAAACCAACCCAAATGAAAAATGAGGGAACAAAGATTTGAACAGAAACTTCATAACAAAGGAAATGTAAATGATACTGCATTGATAGTTGCTTCATTAGTAATAGAAAAATGCCAATTAAAACAATGAGGTCTAGTTACGTATTGAACTTAAAAGCCTGACAGTACTGTGCGTTGGTAAAGATACGTAGCTACAACAGCCACATGCTGCTGGTGGAAGAGAAAAGTGGTGCGGTCTCTCTAGGAACTATTTTGCCACCACTACCCACACCATCTTCAGTTAAACATGAGCGTATGTAACAACCCAGCAATTTCACTTACGGGTATATACCCTAAGGAAACTGCCTGTGTCCACATAAGTGTACGGAGGTCATTGTTTATAAAGCCTACACTCAAAAATAATCAGTGCCTTTATGCGATGGTGTATTATTCAGCAAATTACAGCTACACACATCATTATGGATGAATCTAAAAATATATAATTTTAACTAAAAAGAAAATCACAGGAGAAATTTATATGAAACCCAAACGTAGGTAAAAATAAACTTATGTGCGGGAGAACACGTGTTAAGGGACAAAGAAACATCAGTAATAGGTAAGTGAAGGGAATGCCGCTGTCAGGCTGTGTGGACTCAGCTCCGGGAAGCTTCTGAAGTAGTGACAGCCTGGATAGTTTTAATCCAGACGGTTGCACAGCCATTGTGCTTATAATTACTATCATTAGTATCGTTAGTATTATTTAAACTGTGCCTTTATGTTTTATGGGCTCTTTATCTTAGTTTCAAACTAAAAATTAAATTTTAAAATGATATATTTATAAAAAGCAGAAAACTACAATCATAAAAGCAATGGAGAAGTAAAGTACAAGATATAAAACTATACAGATAAATATTAAGTTTAATATTTGGAGGAATTTTTATTTCTGTTAGATACATCTGTACATTTAAACGTTTTGTGTAAAAGATTATGCCTGATTTTTCTTTTACTCCATTCTCCCTACTATATGGAAAAAGCCTAATTTTTTTAAAATTTATTTTAAAAATAAAAGAAGGAAAACACATTAACAGACAGACAACGATTTACAAAATAACAAAAGAACAATACAAACTATACAGAGTTACAGACAAAGTGGTAGGAAATTAACAGTGCTTGTTGTATTACATATTGATATCTTCAAAGTGGTTTCTCATGAAAACAGAGACATGCAATATTGATCAAACAAGTAATCATTAACTGTTCCTTTCAGTAAAGCAATGGAAGGTAGTAGTTCAACTGTGTTAGCTATCCTGTATATACATACTTACATAATTTCCCCTTCTTTCCCTTCTCTTTTCCCACATCCCAGTTGCCCTTTAGTTTTGAGCATTTTCCTTTCATTTCACAATGTCTATCATACCTCCTAATTTTTGTGGAAAAATCCTAATTATTGAAAGGGCAAGCATTAACTAAATTACTCAAATTTTGTGCCCCGTTAGCTAAACATCTCCTTTCTCTTGAAAGGCTCCGAGGATAAATGATAATTTGGTTTAAAAAAAAGAAAAGCAAGGAATAAAAACATAACATTTGAAGCCAGGCATGGTGGCACACGCCTGTAATCCCAGCACTCAGGAGGCTGAAGCAGGAGGATTGTTGCGAGTTCGAGACCAGCCTGGGCTACAAAGTGAGCTCAAGGCCAGCCTGAACTGCATAATGAGATCGTGTCTCAAAAGGACAATAAATAAATAACACAATATTTGAGTAAAGTTTATAGTATAGTAGTCAAAGTACTAGGAATTAATATTTGATTCTATAGTTCTTCTTTTTCAATACAGATAACTAAATTATTTTTGTGTTATGGTGTAATTTTTCAGATGTACAAGAAACCATTTGCAAAAATCCATCCATCAAAAGTATGTTACACATAATACCATTTCTGGTAAGTTTTTTCAAAGCTCTCTTTCCTTGTTTTCAGAAACATGACTTCATATACACATCATTAGAAGTAAGAGCCCGTGGTGGATGTCAGTTTTTCTTGAGATCAGTTTTTAGACTGTTTTTTCTCCTCCAACTTTTTATCCCAAGATGTTTCATTACAATCAAATAAATATCTTCACATTAAAAATACCAGAACATAAAGATTGTTATATTACATCCAAAGTATTGTATCCGTCATGACAGGAGACAGCAGTCATCAAATGATTTTATGTATGTAGCCAAAACTGTAATGATCGCTGCCTTTTCCCATATACCTTGCAAGTCTTGAGATTCAAAACTAAACATTACTGTTTGGTTCTTTTGGCGGGGAGGGGGCTTGGGTACTGAACCCTAATAAAGATACACATATAAATAAAAATCAGCCTCTGCGTTCAAGAATTTTCAGTCTAACAGAGAGAAAGGCATCTACATGGATGGTAGGTAAAAATAATTGCAGTGCTTAGTAAGACTGTGTGAGGTACAAGCCATCCAAAGCACAGAAAGAAAAAATCTTACTGGAGTTGACTGAAGACATTCGGGTTCCATAAGGGTGCCCACAAACTAAGACAATACTTGTATTTTCATGCTTATCAATTTAGGTATTCACCAGAGAAGTGTTTTGTCGGAGCATTAACTTGGATGCCCTCCTAATCCCCATGTTTTTCATCATGTGCCCTCAGTTCTGAAATTTTTTTTTTTTTTTGTCTTTTTGAGACAGGGTCTCACTATGAGTGCAGGCCGGCCTTGAGCTCACTTTGTAGCCCAGGCTGGCCTTGAGCTCGCAAAAGTCCTCCTGCCTCAGCCTCTTAGGTGCTGGGATCACAGTCACGTGCTACCACGCCTGGCCAGTTCTTGAAATTTTGACAGGAAAAAGTACAATCAAGCAAAAATACTACATTTCTTATTACTTGCTATTATATAAATAAAGTAAAATGTTTCTTACCCATATTTCAGGTTCTTGTTAGGCTCTGGCTGTGACAGTGACTAGCAGTAAGGGAAAAGCAGGCTGAATTCACGCCTCAGCACATGGTTCTTCAGAGTGCCCTTTGGCATCTTTGACGTCATTTTTCAGACATAACTGTCTTGTAACAGCCACCTTAAGTCCTGAGCTTCTTCAAGGCTACGTTTACATACTAGTTTGGTTTTTTTCTCAAATTTTTCATCTCAGTTTTTCGGTCATTTTTCTGGGCCTGAAATTGAACTGGCAATTTATGTCAGTTCTGACATTTATTATTAATTCCTATGATTCTTTTTTCACATTAATGAGATAATACCTGCTGGGCATGGTGGCGCACGCCTGTAATCCCAGCACTCGGGAGGCTGAGACAGGAAGATCATTGCAAGTTCAAGGCCAGCCTGGGCTACAAAGTGAGTTCAAGACCAGCCTGAACTGCATAGTGAGCCCTGTCTCAAAAAGACTAAATTAATTAATTAATTGAAATAAATTAAAGTAAATTAAAAATAAAGAGTCAGTGCCAAATTTGCTTTTTTGTTATATCCTGCCCAAGGATTTGGGCATTTTTGTCCTGTCTACCCATTTGACTGTTACATCTATGTTTCTGTACTCTCTCCTTGAATTAACCAATTGCTGACAGTTTGCCTTCCTTGCTTTACCAATAGACAAACAGAACAGAAATAAGTAGGTGTACACACAGAAAGATAAATTGTATCAGCTGTTCAAAAGGAGATTATGAACACCGTGGTATCTCCCCTGTAAATGTCCCCGCATGCATGTGCTCATAAGAACAAACACATTCCTCTGTATAACTTCCGTACTGTTACCATAACCATGAGGTTTTACACTGCTACAGTAGCATTGTCTGCTACGCACTCCAGAGTTTCCAGTGGTCTGACTGGTGTGTGCTCTGTGGCTGCCCGGCGCGGGATCACCTCCCACCGCTCCAGCCAGCCGTGAGGACGTGGGGAGGGGCTCTTTCTCCCGTCCTGTCACTCCCTGTTTCTCGTCTCCTACAATATTTAGTTGTGTTGATGTGGATTTCTCCTTCAGGGAGGGAAGTGAACTGATAAACTGATTTATCCCAAGGTGTTCAGCATCAATTTTTTTTAGCATATATTTTTAAATGATTTGTCAGACAAAACATGTAAAATCATTTAAATAATTTAAAAACAATATATGAAAAGAAATTTTTTGTTTCTGGCGGTAGGGTCTCGGTGTATAGCGCAGCCTGGCCGTGAACTCAATCGGTGGCCCAGGGCACATGCTCACCCTTCCGTCTCACCCAGCCTCTTGGGTGCGGGCACTGCCAGGGTGTGCCGCCCACCCTTCCATCTCACCCAGCCTCTTGGGTGCGGGCACTGCCAGGGTGTGCCGCCCGCATGGTGAGTTGCTAATAGACTTTCAGACGCACTTGGGTGAGGGAAATATTTTTGATCAGAAGTGCCTTTATTTTCAGGGAAAATATCTGTTGTAGCACGAATGATCAGTATCCTGTCATTGTTTAGAGCAAGTGTAAGACTGAGATTTTGTAATAATAATTAATAATAAACTGCAGCTTCCCCCACCCCTTCACTAGATACTCATAGTCATCCTAATAACGATAGCATCTATCCTGTAGCGTACCTGAGAGTATTACAAGATTACCATGCGTGTAAAGTGCTTAAAACAGTGCCTGTCACATAGCACTTGCGGAATGCCTGTTTGGTTGGATTCTTACTATTAACACAATTCTGATCCTCTTATTTAATTCTCTCAAAATTTTAATATTCCTGAAATCACTTCAATGAAATTTCAGTGTGTGGGATTTACACTTAAGTATTTAAATAAAATGACTTTGGTGAAAGTATAACTTTCTCCTAAAAGTTAGGAGTCATTTCAGCCACCGCTGTCGTCCTCTTTTCCTTCTCCCACCACGCTGTGAATTTCCCTTCCAGCCGAGACTATCTAACATATTACTCATCGAGTCTGCAATATTCTGTGCTGCCTCTGTTTTTCTAAGGATGCTTATGTTTAATTCCTAACTGTACTGTAGTATTTTAGTGAGGTTTATTTTTCTGTTTGTTTTCCAAATTCAGATCATCTAAGCATCAATTTAATATCACTTCTCTTTGAATTCTTCCATAACAAACTGACTGTGAGATGTCCTCATCCTCCTATGAACTCAATATTGTAGCATCTCACATTTTGTATATATATCACAGATACTTTGGTCAATGTGAAAAATTGCTGGAACTATATTTGTGGGCCAAAATTGTTTCTCACTTGCATATCTGCTTTATAGAAACTAGCATATATTAAACATATTTTAAAACTTGATTGACTTACAGTTTTTTTTGTTTGTTTTTTAAGACAGGGCTTAGCCCAGACCAACCTCTAACTCACATTCTTCTTGCCTCAGCCTCCCAAGTGCTGGCATTACAAGGATGTGCCACTATGCCCACTAACTTACAATTTTTTGTTTGTTTGTTTGTTTTGTTTTGTTTTTTAACGGTACCGGGAATCGAACTCATGACCTTGCACTTGCCAGGCAGGTGCTGTGCTGCTGAGCTAAATCCCCAGCCCCCAACTTACGATCTCTTTATACATGATATTTGAATAAGTAAATTATCTACCTTTTTGTACTGTACTAAAATGCAGTCATTTACTTGAAGCTGAAATTTTCTTTTAATTGTCTAAAACAGGGTTTCTTACTCCATAAAAATAACACTGTTTCTGGTATGCTTCCAAAGCCCTTTATTTGGTGTTAGTATTTAATAAATTAGTATAATTTAATGGTAAATAGATATTTTTGAGATATAATCAGAAATAAACGAAAGTTATTCACTGAGTGTGGACCGCTGAATAGTGCTATAGTCTCCCCCACATTCTCTTAGCTGACCTTAGCTAAGACCATCCGTAATTTTCCCCAGCGCTCAGAGCTGTTCAGTGGAGCAGCCAGGATTTATACTTCCCCCTCTCCCCCGCAAAATGTCCTAATTTTTATTTCAATTACTATCACTTTCTTCCTCCAAATTTCCCAGACAGAAGTATCTGTCTAGCCAGGCTTCATATTGTCCCATAGAAATATAGACTAAGTCTCCCTTATTATGTTTACTAGACACACCTCAAGTCTGCTCCTCTCCCTTCTTACTGACACTGTTGTACTTAATGATCGGATCATGTTCCCAACGGCCCATTTTATATTTGGTGAGTAACTAGAAGAAAGGAGCTTGCAGGCCCCAAACACAAAGTCCTGATGAGATGCAAACATTAATTACTCTGCTCTGATCAGTATTTATTGTGTACATGTGTTGAAGTAACATACCACATCTCTACAATGGGTACAATCATCACATGTGAATGAAAACTTTCCAGTTCGAGGAGAGCTGGGGGGCAGGTCAGTGGTACAGTGCTTGTCCAGTAGTGAAGGCCTTGGTTTAATCCACAGCACCACAAAGTGCAGCAGTAGTTCAAGCATGGAAAGGCTAACTACCCCGGTTTGCGCATCACAGATGGTGTACACGCGTTGGATCACTGCCCTGCGCCGCATGAATACGTATAACTACAGTGTAACCCCGGGCCTGAGGGTGTAGTGCAGTGGTGCACGCTTGCCTAAAATAGAGGAAGGCCCTGAGTTTGAAAAAATGATGACGGTACTCATCGTTATTTCAGTCTCTGAAGTTTACCGTGCTTCACCTGGACCGTTGCAGCTGCCCGCGGGTTTGCTGTCTCCAGCACATCTCCCACGTCCGCACCAGCAGAGTAATTCTTTTCAAATACAATATGAACATACTATTTTCCTGCGTAAAGCTCATCTTCAGTGGTTAGCTGTCGCCTGAAAGATAAAGTGAAAACCCCAGCGAGGAGCGTTCGAGCCCGCTGCGGTCGCTCCCCCGCTGCCCGCTGCCCCGGCTCACTGTCTTGCTGAGGGTTGGCCCGGGCCGGCCCGCGGTGTCCCCAGGCAGCCTCAGGCTCCTGCGGTCTGCTTTCCCGTGCTGACGCCTCGGGGCTTGCTCCCCGCGTGTCCATCTGGGACATCGCTTCAGTCCGAGCCTCGTCCTGCCCAAAAGTTACAGCTTCCTGCTTGCGGCAACCGTGCAGCCTGACTGCCGCGTGGTGGAAGTTTTCGTATCCCGGCCTCAGGCCTCTGCGGGGCGGCATCTAGGGAGAGGAGAAGGTGGCCGCGTGCGACAGACACGTCTGCGAAGGAAGCAGGAAGCAGAGTTGCAGCGCGACTTCAACATCGTTTAGCTTGTAATTTTCAGTAGGAAAAGTAGCAAATCTTAGAAGCAGACTTTTCATTTTAGAGTGTTGTAGTTACTTTAAAATAAAATAAATTTCATGAACTTTTAACAGTGACCTGCCAAGCAACTTACGTCTTTAGCCCAAAATGCTGTTAAACACCCATAGGGTCTTCTTCACAGTTCAAAGTGCTTCCTGTACAAACTAAAATTATTAAATACTTTCTATCACAGCAGAGGATAGAAAGCACCTTCTAGGCTGGGTATGATGGCACACGCCTATAATCCCAGCACTCAGGAGGCTGAGGCAGGAGGATCATTGTGAGTTTGAGGCCAGCCTGGGCTACAAAGTGAGTTCAAGGCCAGCCTGAACTGCATAGTGAAACCCTGTCTCAAAGAGACGAAGGAAGGAAGGAAGGTAGGAAGGAAGGGAAAAGAACTTTCTAAGCAAAGATTACCAATAGCAAAAGGTGAAGATCATGAATTATTATAATTAATACCATCCCTTACGTAGAATGGCAATCGGTTTGTTGAGACTGACATATGTGGAGCACTGAAGAATTTGAATTATGAGTTTAGTCTTATTAACATCTCCAATCGGTAAGGTGGTTCACCTGTTAAAGTCTGTGAATACCACAATAAAAGAATATTCTGAACCTGTGTTACAGAACAGCCAACCAAAGGCAAGTCCAGCTCCTGACGTTGGATCCAGACTGCAGAGAAGATTCTGCTGAAGTCCGAGGGCAGCCACTTAGTGGAATCACGATTTCTGATAATCTCCTGTAAATAATTCATGTATTTCTGCGTTTGTTAATGATTTAAAGCACTATAACCGTAAAAATAAATCATAATGTAAGTAATGGAGATAAATTAGGTAGTTTATATTTATGCTGCAAATCATTATTATTATTACATATTTTATTGATAAGTACATTTTAATGGATGGAAATATGTCATTATTTTCAATAAGCATGTTACTGGATACAAAGTCATTCTATTTAAAAATGACAGAGACTATTTTGTTATTCAAATTATGTATTAGCTGTAGTTTAAAGCTTTGTTTTCTGAAATTCCTAATAAATTCTATTAAATTTGTACAATGTTATAAAACATTTATGGTCAATGACATCTTGATAAATAACAGAGGTATTTCTTTCAAGACTTTGCAGGTTCTCTAGCACCCAACGGGTCTCGTTATCAGCTCTACGTGGTTGACAATTAATGTGAATCTCTTACTGAGATTGTTAGTCTCTGTAATCTCTTGCTGAGGTAATTAGTCTCTAAAACCTCAGCACAACTGAAAAATTCAAAGGATCAAATAGTAAACATGAAAAGTAAATGCAACCCCAACTGGATAACTTGATTTTCGCAGCCAGTGTATTTTTTCCCAAAAGGAGTACCTACGTGGGAAACCAGATTTGTATTAGATGTCGGCCCTCTTTTCGTTTTTGGTGTTTGAGACAGAGTCTCACTCTATAGTTCAGGCTGCCCCAGGCTGGCCTCGAACTCTGGGTAATCTTCCTGTCTCAGCCTCCAAAGTGCTGGGATTACAGGCATGCACTACCATACCCAGCTAGAAGTTGGCCTTTTAAAGTATGGGAAGCAAGACCAAAGTTGTATGATCTTAATTTTTTCATAAAACTATGATAGCCTTTATTTTCCCTCAACTATTTCTATTTTAGGTTGTCCTCAGGATTTCAAGCTACATTTCTTCAAAATCGATCACATCACTCCCATCTTAAAATCCTACCCTTCCACTGCTGGAGAAAGTGTGCAGTCCTTAGCGAGGAGGATAAGGTGCCTCACACCCTGGGCCCTCCCTGAGAACCTGGCACGTTCTCTGCCCGCTTCCTCATGGAACCAGTCATACCGAACCCCTTGCTACAGCGGGGATGGGGACGTGGCTCAGTGGTGTGGTGCTTGCGCCAGTCTCTGGTTCGATCCCCAGCACTGAAAATAAAACCCAGAAAAATACAGTTCCTAAAATAAAACCTACTATTTCATGGACTGTGCTATACTTTCAGTTCAGAATGGCTTCCCTTCGTGCCCTGCTTTCCTTCTGTCTCTTAAATTCTCTTCAGGTTGGACTTTCCCCATTCTTTTGTGATAATTCTTTCTCCTATCTCCTCTCAGCAAATCATGTCCTTTGTGCCCGGCACTCAGCTCACTCGTGTACATTCCTGCAGCTTTTCTAGAGCAAGAGCTCCTGGGAAGTAGAGATTGTCATTCATTCATTTTAGGAATTAAAATGGGGCATATAACGGTGGATCAAAATAATGATGAATGGAGAAAGTAATCTTCGAATTAACCACATTTTTATCATGTGGGAGGTACCGCTGTGTTGTGGATATAAAAGAAGATAAGTTAATTGCTATCATGTAGTTTATATTTTAGTAGGGAAAATAAATTTTAAATATACCATCGGAACTACCTAAGTGACAATTAGAGAACGGTGGGGGGTGGAGCGCTGTGCACCATTTTAGATACAAAGTTAAGAGGACCAGGGAGACAGTGCAGCGGCTCGGCGCCTCCCTAGCAAGTGTGAGGTCCTGAGTTCAATTCCTGGTGCCAAAAAATAAAAATAGATACAAAGGTAAACAGTGACCACAAGACGTCTGAGGTGTGTCTCCCTCCCCGGCTCCTCCTTTCTCTCCTGCGTTCCTGGCCCCCCCCATGAGCCGCTGTGTCCCACCCAGTAAAAACACAGATGCCTGTGATCCTGTGCCTCCTGGTGGGATGTGCTGAGAACACTTCGGTCATGTTCATCACCAAATTCCATAGCCTCAACTTAGTGAAAGGAAGAGCCGGGCGTGGTGGCGCACGCCTGTAATCCCAGCACTCAGGAGGCTGAGGCAGGAGGATCGTTGCGAGTTCGAGACCAGCCTGGGCTACAAAGTGAGCTCACAGCCCACCTGAACTGAACAGCGAGACCCTGTCTCAAAAAGACAAAAGAATAAAAATTAGTAAAAGGAAAATATCACTTAGTAAAACAGTGAAATTGAGAGACATTCCAGAGGTGTGGAGGGTAAGAAAGGTTATCACAGGTAAGAGGAGACGAAAGGCCAGGACAACACAATGGAACATAATGTCTCGGGTCGGACCCAAAACAGAATAAGAGCATCCATGGGGAGAAGCCCGGCGGGAACCCCTAGCTTCCAGTCCCAAACTACTTGGGACGCGAGGGCAGGAGGAGCACTTGATTCCAGAGTTCCGGACCAAGCTGGAAAACCTAGCAAGACTATGTCTCTTAAAAAAATAAAACTGGTGAAACCTTAACCAAGTGTGTCGTTTGTTGATAATATTATACCAGTATCCATTAGCTTTGCCAACGGCAGCACAGTTCTGTAAGATGCTAACGTTAGGGAAAGCTGGGTAACAGCAACGTAGGATTGGTGTCGCTGTGGCCACAGGTCTTGGGTGGAGAATTACTTCCAAAGGAGAAACTGCAGTCTTTCAAATGTCATTAGTACACGTTTACAGCACATAGTAAACCCACCGATCCCGAGAGCTGGTACACAGGCGCATTGCACCTGACCCCCGTACTGTCCCTTCCCTGTCTCCCCCTCCTCCGCCCCAGATGGCTTCCCGTCCGCAGCACGCACCTCCCTGTTTCCTGTCGTCTCTCTTTTATTTATCTCTTTAAATTATTTACACCTTAGGAAACCTGAAATACTTAACCTTCTGTGTTGGATTTATTTCACTTAGAATTATGACCTTACAGTGCATCTCCCTACAAATTACTGAAATTTGTTGTTGTTCATGGTGGATTAATAAATATACCAAAATATTTAAAATCTTTCATTGTATTGTGTATCGCAATTTTGGGTTCAGAACAAGTGTTCCTATAATTACATAAAACATAAGGTTACATATTTGTTAAAAATGTGGTAAGCACTTATGCATATTTGGCATTTAATGTGGATTACAGAGTAATGTCCTTGCCTGCCGGAATTACAGTCTGTCTCAAAGTTACACCCCAAGCCCACTATCAAAGATACCTAAATCTCACATAAGTAGAGACACTTACATCTTACCAAAGCAGTGAAAGAGTCCAGGTACTTCCTGCTGCGTCCGAGACATATCCAAGAATCAAAACCAAGTCTGTCTGACTGGAGGACTGACTTACACCTGTACTATAAAACCGGGTTTCTTCATAAAGCAGAATTTTCTAAACAGTCATGAGTATGGGAACATTTATAAGATGTAGAGCAAGCCAAATTTTTTAAAATAACTTTTTAGAAACATGACCAAAGTGAACATAATTCAAAAATTTGTATAAATACGGATACCACGTGGATGGAGAACTTAATTTGTCTCATGAGTACTGAAGACATGTTGAAACCTGACTTTAAGCCCTTACACTTTTGCAGACCACAGAGGGACTGTACTAGGCATATGGCGTCTTAGAGAAATCGGGGTCATTACCTGCTGGCCAAAAGGCAAGCAAAACACTTTACCTAAATGTCTGAGAAAATACTGCTAATTAAGGAAAGGAAAGAGTGAAAGAACAAATGTAGTTCAGTCTTAGCTGGTATATTTCTCCAATGGAATATAATCCTCCAACGTGTCAAGGGAACGTATTGGGGAAATCCAAACTATCCTCCCAAATGCCCTTTCCCTCCCGTATTTAGCAGAGCCTGACTCTCCCTGATCGCTGGCAAGTCTGTCTTCGGTTTGCGTTGGAGGTTGGACGGCTGCTTTGTGGAGGTATATATGAAATGTGAGGGTCGAAATAGCTACAGACATGTTATGTAGAAAACGCTGTCACTACAGCATACCCTCATGGCACGTCTATTTGCTCATCTACTGAGTAAGTGTTTTAAGCACTGTCTTTGTGTCAGGCACTGTCCGACAGCTAGAGAAGCACAAATGAATAAAACACCCCTGCCCTCCAGTAGTTCGGTTTCCTGGGGAAAAAAACCACAAGTAACTCACTGTAGTAGAGCTGAACGTGGCCCCAAAGGAGGGTCATAGTGAACTACAAGTTCTGCTCATGACCACGGCCCAGGCGGCAAGTAAGGAGGGGCTGGGTGTGATGCCGGGAACTCTGACCACTCGGTCACAGTTGTCTGCTCACATGATCGCAGGCCCCGTCTCATTCATGAGTGTAGCTTTAACAGAGTGAGTACCATGCAGTAGGTCCTCAACAGGAAACTAGCAATCCAGTGATCTTTTCCAGTGAAGTGTTGTCTGTCATAACCAGCTGTAAAACTAGTCAATTTTTATTAAACTCTTGTCTGTGACTTAAAAAAAAAAAAACCAACTAATTGATATACTGCCCTCTCGTGGTTCTAAACAAACTTTCCTATTAGTAGATGCATAACCTTTCATTCTCACTAAACTGCCCAGCTGGGCTCAAACCTGCGATGTTCCTGCCTCAGCCTTCTGAGTAGCTGGAATTACAGACATATGCCGCCTCTCGTGATTCACTCTTTTTAATAACAAGGTTTACCCAAGAGATACACTTATATTTCTTCTGTTCTATTGTATTTTATTAAAACAGTGCTGTTAACAAGCAACCAGATAGATTTGGGCACCTACAGCCTCCCCCTCCACCTGACCAACAGAATTTGTTTTATTTTGGTACATTGTTATAGGTGTGCCCTGAAGTCCTAGCTCATGATTCAAGTCATCCTGAGAAGACCTGATCTGACTTTCCCTCAGATACTAAGCTGGGCCCTCTGTGCTGTGTGCACGAGGTCTGCTCTCCCGCTGTGGAGTGGGCTTGTTTTCCTGCTTTTTCTTGGCCTAAATGCGCTCTGCAGCACCTGTTTCTTTCCTTGCTGGGGATGTAAAACCGGGCTGGGGATATAGCTCACTGGAACAAGCTCCTGTCTGGCAAAGTGGAAGGTCCTGAGTTTGATTCCCAGTTCCCATGTAAAAATAAACGTAAAACATTGCTACTGAAAAACACTAGTAAATTGGTTAAGTATACAGATACAAAATACCAATAGTATAAATAATATTAGTAAAGTCCCCCATATACCATACTAGTACTCACAGTTACACGTACCAAGTGTATTACCTTCTTAATTTATATACACGTCACGTGTATTATATCAAACTTGTCTCTGCGACCAAGCTCTGTTTACTCTTATTCTTCAGGGTTAAAGGCTGAGTTTCCTTAAGAAATTCCTTAGGAATTTCCTTAAGTTCCTTTAATAAGAACTGATATATGCAATAAAGTTCATTCTTATAAAAGGAAAAAATTAGTAAATCACTATGACCATAGGAAAAATTGTTAAATTGGGGAAAATGTATGTAAAATACTGAAAGACTGCAATGATTCGGTACTAAGTGGGAAAGAGAACCAGAGAAATACACTTTCCAAGAACTTGAAAGAA